ATATTTGTCCGGACCCCTACTTTTCCGCCCTGAGTTCAAACTGTTACTCTCTCATTTCAAACAGCCTCTGAATGCACTTTAGATTTAGATTATTTTGTGCTTTGTGTTTTGTGAGTATAGCATTAAGATTAATAAAATTTTCAGGGTGTGTAGTTTAACAAATAAGGAAGTGGTTGGTTTATTTATGATTTTTAAAGCTTTCTCCTGTTGCATGTAAATTGGATTAAACTGGAGTTTATTTACACACACGATGTGCAGAATTTGCTATTGGACATAAAATTAGATGGTTTTTTAAAATTGCTTCAACTCTGCAAAAATCAACAAGTTTGTTCAACTTCCCACGTATGCAATATATTCGAAATGACTTTAATTAAGTTGTGCTGACTGCTACAATAATTGACTTTATCTTTTAACATTTTTTAGTTTTACGTATTAGACACATCGGGTTGTACAAATGGAAATCTTTACATAAACAATACAGAATTAATAACAGATTCCCCAAGCTCAGATCTCGAGTTGTACAAATGGTAAAGTTATTTAAAGTCAGCATCTTGAGTCAACTTTAAAAGTATCTAAAAGTGTTATGTTTTCAGCTTTATTATCTTGTAGTTTCACTCTCTTTTTTGCGTCAGCGACGATAAAAATGTCACACCCAGTGCTCGCACTGCAGTTCTCATTTTAGCTCTTATCTTTAGCCCGAATGCCTGACAGGGAACACCCAGTGTCACTCAAAACTGTTTTTGATATGCAAAGAAAAATTGCATGTGACAATATACACCGAAATAGAAAAAAGCAAAATAATGCGACCAGTAAAAAAAGTATTTTCTGTCATTTTATCTCAACCACAATTAGAGTAAAAAGTGGTTTACAGTCAAACTGATGCATCTTTAAATAATCTTTTTAAAAATTACATAGGAAGTTTTAACGACGCTAATGCATTTGTCTATATATTTTATTTATTTTACCTTTGAGCCGATCTGGTTGCCACACTGTCCAATTTGCAGATGTACAATTTCACGCATGATGGTCGGGCTACAGTACGCAGAACAGCTGGTGGTCTGTGATAGTCTTCAGTCCTCCTGTCAGCTTTTATAGGACAAGAAATGATGTCACCAGCAGTGTCGGGGAGTCACCCCTGCTGATAATATGTGAAAGACCCATGATACACAATGGAAACTGTGCACAGAATAGCAGCGTTTACCATTCATTGTTTATGCTTCCATTAGTAAATAGACATAGTATCTCTGCTTTAGATTTGTTTTTATATCTGTATGTTTCACATATGCAAATATAAATAGCTAATTAGGAAAAAGGCATGGCATATTTCCTTTTGTATAAAACTTTGTAGACTTGCAAAACACCTCTACACTGAAAAAAAGGCCAAGTTGGATTTATTTATTTCAATAGTGGACATTGGTTGCTTTGGCAGAAACTTAAACAACGGAGTTAAATCAACACAACTTATTCATATTCAATAAACCTGTGCATTATGTGTTGATAAAACACAATTGAAACATGTTTAGATGAAGTAAGGTGAGCTCTTGGAATATTTTAATACTTTGCAATATTGTCATTTTGATGCAGAATTTTCTTTTGTCCTTGACAGGTTAAACCACGATAAATAGCAATAGCATACACATGATTTTCCTGCAGTTTGAAACCTCGTGTGATCTTGTGATTTCATTGGTCCAGCAACTAACCACTCTTACTAGATTGTATCATGTCATCTCAACAAGAACAAATTAAGTTGTTGACTTTATATATCTATATTTATAGATATATAAACATAGATCCTACATGATTTAATTATGTTCAAGATAGAAACATGAAATTTTTGTGTTCAAATTACAAGGTAGACTTTTTTAATGAAACAACCACCCAATTTACTTTTTTCGGTATACCGAAAAAAGCAGAGGCAGCCTTCCTCAAACCACGATCCCAAGCACGCAAGACTGAAATCCTGTGCGATGTGGCAAGATTTAACATTGCTATATTATTTACTTACTTC